AAACTAGATTCAAGCAAAACTGGGGTCTGCTTGGTTTTCTCTCCCGCAAGCTTGTAGCAGCTTGACTTTGAGCCAGCTCGATAGTAGAACAAGCTAAGTGACCTAAAAGCTACCCGGCTCATCAGACTCGTGAGCCTTTTTTGCCTTTTAATAGTTCATCCTCACATGTCATACAAACTTATGTACATATTTCAAATAGCCGCAAAGTACAGCAGGAACCAACCTCACAGTAGAAACCAACATTTACCCTCTCTTGAGTAGGCTACTTCTTCCCTCTCCTCGTCTAGCATGGGATCTTCTTTCAATTACCCCATTTTCTTCTCCTTCTAACACTTATCTTCCTTTTTCATCGGTTGAGTACCAAATTTCGGTAAATCACCCATTGTCCTCCAATGTCCCTCTTGCTCTAATTGGTCTCCTTTCCTGGCAGACCTCTAATTAAGCATTTAGGCCAAGCTAGAGATGGAAAAATTTGCCTTCCTCCGGCAGGCGACGCCTTCACTCTCCTTCTCCAGCTTGGAATCTTCTCTCAATAACCTCATTTTCTTCTTTCTTAATCTCATCTTCCTTTTTCATAAGTGGAGAACAAAATTTTGGTACCTCAGCAATTGTCCTCAGTGTCCCCCACTCTCCCTCTTGCTCTCATTGGTATCGGGTCGGAAACATGAGGAATCAAGGGTAGTTAATGGTGTATCCGCTAAAGTGCCAAAGCATCTGCCGATGACTAGTTCAGTATGCTTACTCAAGAGGAGTCAACATTTAAGTAAGAAAATCATTCAATTAGGCTTATGGGTCAAAGAGTTGGTAAAAGATCTAAAGTGAAGGCTATTAAATTTAAGAAGAGAAAGTACCTGCTAAAGTATTTAAAGTTTTATAGGATGCTAAGGACGAATGTAAGGCAGACAAGTGTTATTTTCTGTATAGAAGAGCATTAACAGAAAGATTGCATGAAACGATTATGGATCTGCTGATTGATTTGCCTCTTCATGGAGCAAAGCATACATGGTCAAGGGAGGAAAACACTACACACATCTAGGATTGACAGATTCCTTATTTCTATAGGTGGGATGAAAGCTTTAAAGCAATTAAGCAGCTGGCGTTGCCTAGACCTATTTCTGATCATAAACCATTATTGTTGGAATGTGGAGAATGGGTTGCAACTCACTCCTACTTCAAGTTTGAGAAAATGTGGTTGCAACAAGAAGGGTTCATTGATATGGTCAAAGGATGGTGGCAGAATTACACTATAGGTGGCAGCGCTGATTTTATTCCCATTCAGAAGTTGAGAAACTTGAAAAAAGACATCTCCAACTGGAATAAGGAAGTTAATGGCAAGCTGGAACTTGGAAGTAAGAATAAGCAGAGCTCTACAGGAACTTGCAGCATTAGAACAGGCTACAGAAGGCATAATTCCAATGCAGGCAGAAAAGTAGAAGATTTTGAGTTTGCAAGTGGAGCTGGAGGAACTGGCCAAAGCTGAAAAAACATCATGGAGACAAAAGTCAAGATGTCAATGGTTGAAATAGGGGGACAGGAACACCAAGTATTTCCATTCCATAGCCAATTCACACAAAAGATTCAACAATATTGACAAGCTCAAGTGAATGATGAAATAACAGAAGACAAAGCACAGATTAAAGAGATCATGAACTACTACCATAATCTGTATACAGAAAATGAAGTGTGGAGAACTACTGCCAATTTTGATGAAGTAGCTAGACTTGCAGAAGAGGATAGGGAGATGTTAGAGAAAGCCTTTGATTCGGGAATCTCTTTCTATGTTAGCTAGCGGGGGCGAGCTTTCCTATGGTAGTCCTGCGGCCTCTGAACGGCCGTCCCATCTCATCTTGATTTGGCTATACTTGTATGTAGCCAGCCATGTTAGCGTTCACCTTCTCTCCTCTGTTACAACATAGGTCGTTCCAATCCCTGATGAAAATATTCCACTTATTAGTTTAATAGTTTACTCGAGAGTTACTCAATGAATCAGTTGATTGGAATTGCGGGATTGATAGATATTACAGAAGATGAATCAATTTCTTGTTTAGCTTTCTTCGGGATTTGGCCCTAACTGTTCGGCGGATTCTCAACTCTTCTCACAATGAAGAAGAAGTGCATGAAACCATTAATTCTTGTTCCTCATTAATTCTTTTTTAGCTTTCTTCAGGATTTGGCCCTAACTGTTTGGCGAATTCTCAACTCTTCTCACAACGACGAAGAAGTGCAAACCATTAATTCTTGTTCCTCATATAAGGCTCCAGGTCCAGATGGTTTCACTATGGCTTTCTTTCAAAAAATATGGGAGTTTATCAAGCCAAAAGTGATGGGGGCACTCAATCACTCTCATCAGCAATGCTATATGGTGAGATCATGTAGTGCCTCTTTTATTGCCTTGATTCCCAAAAAGAAAGGGGCTATTGAACTTAGAGACTACAGAACCAATAAGTCTGATTGGCAGTGTCTATAAGGTTGTGGTCAAGCTACTAGCAGAAAGATTGCAGAAGTTATTGGCAAATTAGTCTCCAGTCATCAAAATGCTTTCATTAAGCACAACAGATGACTGATGCTTCACTTATAGCCAATGAGGCTCTAGATTGGAGGCTTAAATCTGGGAGTCTGGCATTATATGCAAACTTGATATTGAAAAAGCTTTTAACAAGCTGAATTGGTCATATCTAATTTATATTCTAAGGAAAATGGGATTTGGAGACAAATGGATGAGGTGGATTAGATTCAGCATCACAACAGTCAAATATTCAGTGTTGGTCACCAGAGAACTTGTTGGCTTCTTCTCACCTTAGAAACGGATTAGGCAGGGAGACCCACTCTCCCCATTTCTGTTTATACTTGCCATGGAAGGTTTAAGCAAAATGCTTGAAAATGTTAGAGAACTATAATGGATTCTGTCTCTGTTTTTCAGCTGTTGTATGCTGATGATACTCTAATGTTTTGTGAGGCTGAAAAGTCACGACTTATGTACCTAAACCTGGCTTTCCTCCTATTTGAAGCACTTTCTGGGCTACATGTCAATGTGCTGAAAAGTATCATTTATCCTGTCAACCATGTATCTAACATTGAGGAACTAGCAGGTAGCATGGGTTGCAGTATTGGGTCCTTGCCCACCACATACTTGGGCCTTCCATTGGGTGCCAAATTCAAAAGTTGGGAGATATGGAATGGGATTATTGAAAGTTTGAAAAAGGGTTAGCAACATGGCAATTGCAATACCTTTCCATGGGAGGAAGACTAACTCTTATCAATAGTGTACTTGACAACATTCCAACTTATTACATGTCACTGTTTCCTATCCCTAAAAAGGTGTTAAAGCAATTAGATAAAATCAGGAGGGACTTTCTATGGGAAGGGAATAGCAACACTCACAGGTTTCATCTTATTAAGTGGGATAAAGTCACACAACCAAAGCACCGGGGAGGATTGGGTATCAGAGATCTAGAGGTCCACAACAAGTGTTTACTAATGAAATGGCTTTGGAGATATGACACAGGGGAATCAAGTCTCTGGAAGGAGGTGATTATTGCAAAGCATGGGAAAAGAGACAACTGGAGCACCAAAATCTCTAATGCACCTTATGCAGTGGGCCCTTGGAAGTACATCAGGAAATTGGGGAATGAATTTTTCCAAGAATCCTACTTCAAAGGCAATGGAGCACATATTAGATTCTAGAAAGACAAATGGCTCAACAATATTACACTTATGGATGAATACCCTAATCTGTTCCAGATTGCATTGGATAAAGACTCCTTCATAGCTCAAAACAGAAAGTGGCAATAATTAGAATGTTCATCTCAGAAAAGTAGTGCAAGATTGGGAAGTGGACAACTTCATAGAGTTACTTGCCAGAGTGGAAAGGTTCAACATGAATGCAAGTATACGACATCATTTGTTGGGGGAGTAAGGGCACTTTCTCAATGAAAGAATGTTACATGCAGTTATGTTCTCAAAACCAAATTATCGATGCATAGCCATGGAAATTAATATGGAAAATTAAGCTGCCTATTAAAGTAATTTACTTTGACCGGAAAGCTGGATTGCTCTCCATGAAGCTTGCTTGACACAAGACAATCTCAACAGGAGAGGCTTTTAGCTAGTCAATAGATGTTATATGTGCAGGGAAAATATGAAAACAGTTAGCCATCTGTTTTTGCATTACCTGGTGGCCGCTGAACTTTGGAACATGTTTTACTGTATTTTTGGCCTCAAATGGGTTATGCCGCAAACCATAAAACAAGCACACCTGAGCTAGAGTCTATGGAGAGTTGATAAGACCATTAAGAAGATCTGGTTGATGAACCCAGCAGTTATTTTTTGGTGTTTGTGGAATGAGAGGAATAGTAGATGCTTTGATGGGATCTCAACTCCAAATCACTCTCTCAAAGCTAGATGCCTCCTCAATCTTTTTTGTTGGACTAGGATAGCTACTGTAATTAGTTCCGATCATCTTTTGGACTTTGTTAGCTCCCTTGTCTTAGATTGACATTCTGTAAAGGGACTAGTTTTCTTTTAATTATGCACCTCAACTTTTGTAACTATGCATCTTCTTGATACTTTTGATAATATAACATCTTACTCCCTCCGTTTCATATTAAATGAGGTACTTTCCTTTTTAGTCTGTTCCAAAACAAATGACACATTTCTAAATTTGGAAATAATTCAACTTTAAACTCTTTCATTTTACTCATTTACCCTTAATGAGAAACTTTTATAGCCTCAAAAATGTCATGGCCCCACAAACTTTTTACCCCTTAGTTTTTAAGACCACAAATTTTAAAAGTCTTCTTCTTTTTTCTTAAACTCCGTGCCAAGTCAAACTACCTCATATAATATGAAACGGAGGGAGTACTTCATAAAAAAAACAGAAAGATTGCATGAACCATAAAAAAGGTACATTTATTGCTTTTATGTATCTGAATCGAACTTAGCTGAAGTTTCTAATAGTACTTGGTGGCTTGACTTTAGTACAACTACTCATGTCTACTATGTTGTAAGGATTCATTATGATCCAAATCACAAACCCAAATGATGATTTCTTTTTTTTGAGGAAATCGCATAAAGGTTCCAATTGAAAACACAAGGAACTTACTACTTAATCTTAGATACTAGATATTATGTTGATCTATTACAAACTCTTTATATTCGCTCAGTTTTTATAACTTTGGTTTCTCTCACAACGACTTGATGCTTCCTGGTTTAGTTTTAAGTTGGCCATGGATTTGAAAAAGCTTACGATAAAGTCCCAAGGGAGGTTCTATAGAGATGTCTGGAGGTTAGTGGTGTTCTGGTAGCGTACATTAGAGTGATTAAGGATATTTACGATAGAGCGAAAACTTGGGTGAGGACTGTGGGAGGAGACTCGCATTATTTTCCTGTGATGATGGGATTACATCAGGGTTCGGCTCTTAGCCCATTTTTATTTGCTCTGGTGATGAACGTGCTGACGTGCCACATTCAGGGGAGATGTCGTGGTGTATGTTATTTACAGATGACATAGTGCTAATCGATGAGACGCGTTGCGAGGTTACACGATCGGCTAGAGCTGTGGAGGCAGACCCTGGAGTCTAAAGGTTTCAAGTTGACTAGGACAAAAACCGAATACTTGGAGTGCAAGTTCAGTGTGGGGACGCAGGAAACAGAAGCGGAGGTGAAGCTTGATACAGAAGTCATTCCCAAGAGAGATAGTTTCAAATATCTTGGTCCTGTTATTCAGTGGAACGGGAAGATTGACGAGGATGTTACGCATCGTATTGGAGCGGGGTAGATGAAATGGAGGCTTGTGTATGGTGTTTTGTGTGGTAGAAATGTGCCACCAGGACTTAAGGTCAAGTTCTACAAAGTGGTAGTTACTAGTTAGGCCGACTACAACCTATGTTGTATGGAGCCGAGTGTTGGTCAGTCAAGAAATCTCATGTCCAGAAGATGAAAGTAGCAGAGATGAGGATGTTGCGATAGATGAGTGGGCATACCACGAAAGAGTGGATTAGGAATGAAGTTATTAAGGACAAGGTGGGTGTGACTCCTGTGGAAGACAAGTTGCGGGAATCGAGGTTGAGATGGTTCGGGCATGTGAAAATGAAAGACACTGATGCCCCGATGAGGAGATGTAAGAAGTTGATCATGGCAGGTCAAAGGAAAGGTAGAGGGAGGCCTACGAAGTACTGGGGAGGTGATTAGGCAGGACATGACACTGCTTCAGCTTATCGAGGACGTGACCCTCGATAAGAAGGTGTCGAAGTCGAGAATTAGAATTGCGGGTTGACAGGCAATCGAGAGTCTCTTCTAGTCGTACTAGTAGTATTAGTACTAGTCTTGTATTCTCCTATTCCAACTTCCTTGTTGTTAGACGATGTGGCATTATTGCCGGTAGTTTCTGCACTTCTTATAGCTTCGTATTCCTAGATATTTGCTATTACATGTTGTGCTATTTGTTTTTGTTATCTTATTTTCGTGCCATTATTATTGCTTGTTTATTATGTCCTTTTCATTGTTCTTGAGTCGAGGGTCTATCGGAAACAACATCTCTTCCTTCATAAGGTAGGGGTAAGGTATGCGTACACATTACCCTCCCCATACCCCACGTGTGGGATTTTACTGGGTTTGTTATTGTTGGTGTACCTTATTCTTTATAGCTTTGGTATTCTTATTGATAATTTATATTAAAATGTGTTTTCTGAATCTCTTCTTCCTGTTCATTGTAATGTTGGATTGGGGGATGAAAGTTCTGAGGCTCGGGACCTCGGAATTTGATTCCGGGCATATGCCCAAGTCCCATATTTTTCCACGGACCCTCCAGGACCATCAAATCATGTGTCCGAGTCCGTTTACTTATGGGACCAAAGGACCAGACGTTTAGGTCATATACCCAAAGGAATGTTAAAATGATTAGTAAAGAATGAAATTCTTCCAAATATAAGTTCTAGCGATCTTAATATATGTTTGGATTGTATTAATGAAGATCAAACCAAACATCATGAGAGAGGGACTACAAACAGTTGCCAACTTCTTGAAACTATACCCATCGATATATGCCGACACTTTAATGTTTTATCTTTTGGTGGGGAATTTTTCTATCACCTTTATTGATGATTTTTCACGTTATGGATATATGCTTATTTGTTGAAGAAAAATCTCGAATAACGGACGCTCACAAGGTGTAAGTAAATGAGGATAAAAAGCAACTAGAAACTCATTAGGTTAGACAGAGATGCTGAATATTACGAAACTCATAATGTATCAGAGCAATGTCTAGGTCTGCTTGCAAAGTCTCTTGAAGGACATGTCATATGTGCACACTATATTGTGCCAGGGATGCCTTTAACCGGACACTTATGGACATGGTTAGGAGCACGATGAGTAATTCCTCGTTTGCTTGAGATTTTTTTCCCAACAAATAGGAATATCCATACGTAGAAAATAAACAAAAAAAGGTGATAAAATATTTTTTCCACCAAAAGATAGAAACATCAAAGCACATATCAATGTGTATAGTTTGAAGAAGCTAGCTACTTCTTGCTGCACCTGCTTCATTATTTTTGGTTTGCTTTCTCTTGATGCAATCAAAACATATATCAAGATCGTTACAACCTAAATTTAAAAGAATCTCTTCCATAATTGATCATTCCAACCTTTATTCGGATATATGACCCAAAAGTCTATGCCACACGTATGCAGAATTTCCGTCTAGTAAACTACTTTAATTCCAATATTATGATGAGGTTTGAAAAATACATTATGAAGTTTCAATTTATATAAACCATCAATAGAAACATCAGAGACATAAAAGAACAACATTCATTCTTATATATGCGAAAACATTTATGTCCAAAATTAAACTAAACTCCAAAATACCAAATCTTTAAAAAGAAAACCAATATCCTAGAAATTGAAGGAACACAGAGAGAGCATAATAAATCAATGTGATGTCCAATGTCTAAGATCAAATGGTAAATCCATATTCCTTCCGTTGGAAGCTTCATATAATTTTACATAAACAAGAATTTCCCATTTGGGGTATTGCTTGGGATCATAATGAATCCTTGCACCGTAGTGGACATTGGACACGTGAATAATTGCACCAGAATCAAGCTGTCAAGTATTATTAGGAACTTTAACTAAATTTGTTTTGTGAAACATAAAAGCATTATACATACCTTTCTCTTCAAACCAAGCGTTAAGTTTCATGCAATCTTTCTAATAGTATTCTTTATCACAAAAATGAAACTTTTATGCCTTATTTTTCATCTTAGCCTGTGAAATTGATTTCTTCTTCTTAAACTTGTTGACCTTCATTTTAGGTATTTACCAACCCTTAGATCGTCTTGAGTAAATATACTGGACAATTCATTAACATTTTACATGTCCTTAATAGCATTATAGTTAATTTAGAAATGTACAGGAGGAGGAGGAGAATTCAGAATGAACTTAACCAAAAAAGAGTCATTCACCTTCATTCCCATGGTCTCAAGTAGTCTTAAACTTCATACTAGCGGGTTATGCCATTAGTGTAGCAAGAAGTGACTCGTCAGTAGAATGAAAATGTTCTTCCAAACTTCAAGTATTCCCTGTCATTTTCTGTTTGTAAATAATACTCTTCATGTTGTTAGCTATCACATCCGCATGAATATAAGACAGTCGTCATCAACAGCAAAAATATGTCATGTCCCTATACCCATATTACTAACCAAGGTAGAGAAGAGAATGAAGCAGACCTTTCCATTCCACTGGTCTGATGGAGTAAGGCGACTGTCCCTAAGAAAATGCGAGGACTGAGCAAAACCCAACCAAACTCACCAACCCAGGATGGGGAACCCATATTATTACAATAAACCCATCAAACCCGATTTGTCACCGATTAAATATGGGCTCAACCCATTTTCAAATATCATTCAACCAACCCGCTTAAATATGAGTCGTATGAGGGGGTGATTGAAAAGTGAGTCTCAATTTCCAGGACTAATTTAGAGTCAAAGAAACAGCTTACCCTCTATTCTCTCCACAATTGGCAGGTTAGAGTCACCTATACAGAAGCCCAACTTCAGCATGATTACGTCAAGCCTTTGCACATTTGTAAGGTAAAGATAACCAACCTACAAGAGAGAATACTAGAAAAAATTAATTTGTAAGTGAAAAAAATCATATGCACTCCATAAAGAATTTCATTAGCTTCTAAACTACCAAAAAAGGAAAAGATTTGATTGACAACCATTAATGAACAGCACATATTGGCAGATGAAAACATAGATAAAGCAGTTAATTCGCTATTCTTAATAATAGGGTTGAAAAACTGACAAGTGTTTCAAGTGAAGACGCTCGGTTGTAAACAGCTACACCAGCACGCTTTTTCGTCCGAGTTTTACCTGAAACAATATTTTTCCCCCAACGAAGCACACCCCTACAACATGGAAACACATACACATGGTCAAAATCACATGATAAACATGAGGTTTTTTCCTTTGCTTAACAAGTAATAGTTCTTTTGTAGCTTAATGGGGATAAATTAAACAATATATTTAGGGGCCATTTCGTTACAAGGATTAATGGGGTTATCCCAGTATAAAATTTGGATTAAATTTGTCAAGTGTTGGTTGCAAATATTAGCTAAAACCAGAATAAAATATATATACCAAAATCATGGAATTATCTATCCCATATAAAAGATAGGATTATCTATCTGGTTTTGAATCAAATGACCCCTTAAAGGGCGGAGACACCTCAATTTAATCCCAAATTTTATAAACACCAAGGTTCAGCCTAAGCAATCCATTAGTTGAGTCGGAAAAGAAAAAAAGGAACTCTGAACTCAGTTGAGAATAGAATTAAACAGTAAAATTGCGAAATAAAATATATCTTGTTTTACCAATATAAGATTCTTTATTATTATTATTTTTTTGCATTGTTCGATTTGTCAAGCAACAACTGAGTTATGACCGTGGAACATTAATATAATTACTCTCCTCCTGAGTTGGATTTTACTAGAAGAACCAACACTTCTCACCCTAACCGATCCGACTTCAACAAACAAATCGCTCGTGTAACCCGTGTTTATCATATTTTTGGCACAAACTTATTTTTCATTAATACAATTACTCTCCTCCTGAGTTGGATTTTATTAGAAGAACCAGCACCTTTCAGCCTAAGTGATCCAACTACAACAAACAAAACTGTACCACTGTAGGATTGCATATAGATGTTCTTAACATGCAGCGGAAGATAATAACAATCCTAGGCAGAACTTTTCGTGTTTAAAACTAATTTACATGTCAAAGAACGGATCTAAGACGTACCTAGTGAAGAGAATCTCGTTTTAAATTTCTTCAATAGTGTGAAGACTCTATGTGTATCCACACCGAGACTGATAAACAATCTCCCGTCCTCTCAGGTACCTGAGTATCCACTTGACTGCTTCCTAGTGTTCTTTTCCAGGATTTTCAAGAAACCTGCTAACACCAACTGCGTAAGCAATATCAGGTCTAGTGCATACCATTGAATACATCAAACTTCCGATGGCAGAGGAATAAGGAACTTTGGTCATGCTTTCCTTTTCCTCCATTGTTGCAGGGCACATCTTCTTGTTTAACTTCAGATGACTAGCAAGAGGCGTGTTGACTAGCTTAGCATTCTTCATGTTAAAGCGTTCCAGTACATGTTCAATGTACTTCTCCTGAGACAACCACAACTTTCTGCTTGTTCGCTCTCGAACTATCTTCATACCCAGAATTTGTTGTGCTGGGCCAAGTCCTTCATATCAAATGACTTGGACAAATCTCCCTTCAACTTTGCAATCAGCCCCTTGTCTTTTCCTACAATTAACATGCCATCCACGTACAACAACAAAATAATAAAGTTGTTGTCAGAAAATTTTTTGAAGTATACACAAGGACCAGAATATGTCTTTGTGTAAGTTTGACTTTTCATGAATGAGTCAGACTTCTTGTACCACTGCCTTGGTGTCTGCTTCAATCCATAAAGACTCTTATTCAATTTGCACACCATGTGTTTCTTTCCAGCTACTTCAAATCCTTCTGGCTGCTCCATATAAATTCCCTCTTCCAAATCTCCATGAAGAAATGCAGTTTTCACATCCAACTGCTCCATTTCAAGATCTAATTTAGTTGTTAAGCTCAAAATTGTTCGAATAGAAGTCATTTTGACAACATGTGAGAAAATTTCGTCAAAATCAATACCTTTCTTCTATTCGAAGCCTTAACCACCAATCGAGTTTTGTATCTGACCAACTTTCCATTTCCATCTTTCTTGAGTTTAAAGACCCACTTACATTTGAGTGGTCTTTTACCCTTTGGAAGTTCAACGAGCTTGTAAGTGCCATTTTACTATAGAGATTCCATCTCTTCTTGCATGGCTTTCATCCACTGGTTCTTTTCTGTATGGGACAGCACCTCCTCAAAACTTGCTGGCTCCCCCTCACCACTAATGAGGACATACTTTGTGGAAGGGTACCTGCATGACTCTACCTTTGGCCTTTCTGATCTCCTCAGAGGTTGAGGTTGTTCTTCTCACTGAGTGGGGTGATCCACTTGCTCGACACCATCATCAAGTTGCTCCTCCTGCTCAATAACCTCATCAGGTTGCCCCCCGCTCAGCAACCTCGTCGGTCCTACTTTCTACACTTGTGGGATTGTTAAAAGTAGAAGGAATAGTAACAAGGTTTAATTACATCATTCTTGGCCTTCTCTAACATATCATCAGCCGTTCCAACTTCACTTTCTTGGAAGACTACATCTCTGCTTCTGATGATCTTCTTCTTTACAGGATCCCACAATCTGTACCTGAACTCTTCAACTTCATATCCGATGAATATGGAGGGAACAAATTTATCATCCAGCTTTGTTCTTTGCTCCTTTGGTACATGTGCAAAAGCTCTGCAACCGAACACCTTCAGATGCTAGTAGGACACCTCCTTGTTGGTCCAAACTCTCTCTGGAATGTCAAACTCCAATGGAACTGATGGACTCCTATTGATTAGGTAATCGGTTGTATGAACTGCTTCACCCCAGAATGACTTAGGCAGTTTAGCCATTCTGCTTCTCACCTTCTGAACAATAGGGCAGTTCATCCTCTCGGCTACGCCATTGTACTATGGGGTTCCAGGAACTCTCTTTCCATGTCTGATCCCATGACTTGAATAGTACTCTTCAAATTCCCTTGAAGTGTACTGCCTTCATTGTCACTTCGGAGATGCTTTAGCTTTCGACCCGTCTCCCTTTCCACCGGAGCATGAAACTTATAGAAAACTTGAAACACCTGATCTTTGGTTTTCAAAATATAAACCCATAATTTTCGTGAAGCATCATCAATAAAAGTAACAAATTATTTGTTACCGCCCATCGATTTCAATTTCCATTGAACCACAAACATTAGAATATACCAAATCAAGTATATTCAATTTTCTTTCATACGATGTCTGAAATGAGACTCTATGCTGCTTACCAAATAAACAGTAGTCACAAGGTTTTAACGTTGTACTTTTGGCATAAGAAATGAGTGATTTCCTGGCAAGAATATGCAATCCCTTCTCGCCCATATTACCCATCATTTTGTGCCACAAATTTGTAGAAATCTCATCTTGTCCGCGTTCAATTCACCTTGGCATATTTCTGCATTTGTCCAGTACAATGTGCCACAAGCAACTCCCTTTGCAATCACCAATGATCCCTTAGTTAGTCTCCACTTTTGATTTGCAAAATAGTTCTCGTATCCATCTCGGTCTAAAGTAATTCCCGAGATCAAGTTCATCCGCAAATCAGGTACATGTCGCACGTCCTTTAGAACCAATGTACATCCGACATTTGTCTTGATATAAATGTCACCAATCCCCGCAATCTTTGAGTAACTTGTGTTACCCATTTTTATAGTGCTGAAATCACCTGCTACATATCTGCAAAAAAGATCTTTTACCAGTGTGGCATGGTAAGACGCTATTGTATCAACCACCCATTCCGACTCTAGGCCTGATAAGTGCATGTATTCCTCTTCCTCATTTATAAAGAGGGCAACATTATCATTGTTTTGCACCATGGCGGTTGTGTTGTCGTCATTCTTCTGGCCACTGCTTTCACATTTGCCCTTCCTTGGATTTGGGCAATCTCTTTTGAAGTGACCCAGTTGATCACAATTGTAGCAATTTCTTGCTCTTGATTTGGATGGGTTCTTATACTTCCCACAAGTTCCGGATCTACCATAGTGCTCAAACTCCTACTCCTGCCTCCGCCTTCTGTGATGAGAGCATGTCCTTGATTTTCATGCTACTTTCTCACCTTCTCATTGAGTAGAAGAGCCGATGTGACACCTTTCAACTCAATAGTAGTCTTACCGTGCAGGATGGTTGTTGCCAAATTATCATACGAAGATGGCAACGAGTTCAATAACAAGATGGCTTTATCTTCTTCCTCGATTTTCACTCCGAGATTGGCGAGCTATGTGATTAGTCCGTTAAATACATTTAAATGTGACAAAAAATTTGTACCTTCACCCATGTGTAGGGCATATAGATGCTTCTTCAGGTACAGTTTATTTGTCTGCGTTTTGGACATGTATAAGCTTTCCAACATTGTCCAAATGCCACATGCGGTGCTTTCATCAATGATGTTATTTACCACATCATCTAATAAGTGCAACCTGATTGCACTCGCAGCCCTTTCATACAAGTCAGCTCAATCCTCAACTTTCATGGTATCAGGCTTTTTGGCATCAACATCTAGTACCTTGTGTAATCCTTGTTGGATGAGCAGATTCGTCATCGTTCTTTGCCATGTTGAGAAACCGCTATCTCCGTTGAATTTTGTTACCTCGTACTTTATTCCGGACATCTTTGTTTTTCACCGAGTATAGTACTACCAATAGTAAATAGTATTTCTGTGAACGAGCAGAACTTGTGCTCTGATACTAGTGTTTGGGAATAAACCCCCTACAGAAATAATATTCACAATAATAAAAGCAGAATAATAACGTAGCACTGAGATACGATAATTAACAAGAATAAAAGAGTGAAAACAACACCAAGATTGTTACGTGGAAAATCCTTTTTTATAAGGGGAAAAAACCACGGCCTTGAAACGAGCAACTGATATCACTATAGCAAGAAATTTTATACTTTGTAGGTCCGAGTAAAATACTCCAAAGACCACTACAACACTCAAAAGAAATAACCCTCTTTTGATATTCCCACCTCACTACAATATCGCTCACTCTCTATTTTCCTCACAGACTATTTTCTTATACCTTGTCTGTGAAACCTCACTCTTTCTTTCTCTCTTTGTTGGTGTGAAGAAATGAGAGTTGAAGCTCTCCTTTTATAGCCAAAGCTTCACCCTCTAAAGCCTACAATATTTGACAATTTACACACATTTTTCACAATTCAACAAAGTTGGCTAC